GGAACCTTCTGAGGTGATACCCACTCCCTCCTTTTTTACCCCGAGCTAAGAAATTGCAAATTCCTGGTGATCAGAATCTAAACACAAGCAATTTCAAAATCAGCAAACCCAGCCCCATTTAGAGATTCAAGGGCAGGTGAATTTTTCCCAAAGTAAAGGGAAAACCAAAACCTAATGTAAACCGATGCCCCTCTCATTGCTGACCATCGATTAAATCCTTGAAATCTCTTGGTTTTAAACCCAAGTCCTTGGGTTTATTAGGGAACAGATTTGAGAAAGAGGGAGCACAGGATGAGAGAGGAGAAGGAATGTAGAAGTCTCAGGCACACTGCCCCCAGGAAGGACCCCAAAACACAGAGGGACAGAGTCTAGAATTACGGACAAGTGATTGAAACGCTCTCCTTTCCAATGTGCTTAAGAAAAATAATCTAAGGTGCAGACTAGGCCTTGATTTAAAAAAAAAAAAAAAAAAAAAAAAAGCCTGGAACAAACCGAAGAGCAGTGACCACTGAAAGGGTCCAGGTGTGGGGTCCCGTGAAAGTCCAACCTGGCCTGTAAGGTTCAAGGGCCAGGACAGCTCCGCGGAAAGCAAGGTTTCGGGACCGCAGAAGGGGTGTGGACTGCACCTTCCAGACCTCCCATTGACAGGGAGCTGAGGGCCGAGCGGGGCACTAACTTGGCCAAGACAGGGCAGGAGTCCGTTGGCCAGGTTGACTTCAGGCACCCTTGTGGGGCACGAAGGGCTCCCAGAACTACAGTTTCAACGTGAGGGGAAGTTTCTGCCCTGCGCCCAGCCCAGCCTTCCTCCCTCTTCTTCTCCCTCCCTGCCTCCCTCTTCCCTCTTTGTCAGGTTCCCCGCGCCCTTCCTCCCCCTCTAACAACCCTGCGCCCTTCACCTTCTCGGCTGGGATGCTTGAAGGTCACGGCTGCGGCGAGCTCTCCGCTGTGCACTGAGACGCTGGCCCCGGGCGGCGCCAGCGGGGGTCCCTGCGCGGGTGGCCACGGCGGGCCCGGGGCGAGGTAGCCGCCTGCCGGCGCGCTGTACACGCCGTGCTGATTGGAGGCCGGGTAGGCGCAGGCCGGGAGGAAGCTGCCCACGGCGGAGAGCCCTGAGGCCGGCTGTGGAGGACAGGCTCGGTCAGGGCCCTGCAGCTACGCCACCAACTCCCCTGTCGCCCCGTCAATTAAGTGTGCAAGGCATGACCCCCTCATTCTGGCGAGGACCTTGCGGCCAAGTGATTTTTAAAACGTACCCCAAATGGGCAGAAACGCGCGCTCTGCGGGAGGCCGCGCAGTCCTTCCTGTCACTTATCCCCTTCCTCCCCGCCTCACCTCAGCCTCTGCCTCCCAGTTACCTGGGTGTATTTAATGTCCGCCTCCAAGGCCGGTTTCTCGAGCCCGTTCACTGCGGGGGCGGCGGGGAAGGCCGAGCGGTTCACCCCGGCCCACTCTTCCATCTTGGGGGAGTAGGAGGCGCCTTCGCTCCCGGCCAGGGCGCCTGGGGGTACACGGTGGGGGTGGGTCAGAAGGCAGGCACCTCTGTGCGGAGCGCGCGGGCTGCTCTCCTGCCTGCCTGGACGGTCACCCTCCCCCGGAACTACCCGGTTGGCATCCAGCGTGAGCGCGCTGGGCGTCCCCACAAGCCCTAAGAATGGACACTCTCCTTCCCAGGCAGTTGCAGGGGAAGCGGAAAGCTGCCGGCACTGCTTTCCCTCCGCGCGCGGGGCGCTGCAAAGGAAAGCATAAGGCCTGCTCTTCGATCCCTGCAGCCTGAGACCCGCTTCCCGCGAAACAGAGCCCATGCGACCGGCCCGGGCCAGGCGCTTTGGGCCAGGCTACAGCCCCACTTCCTGGAGGTCGCGACATCTAGAAGGGTGTAAGTTCAAATTCACAAAACAGTGTGTATTTCTCGATGTCTAAAGAAGCATCTGGAGGGGACAATTTGACCCTGAGCTATCTCCTAGAAGACCCATCATCGCTCCTACCCAAACACCCAGCAGATTGTGGCTCTGGGGTGCACGCAGGGGACCCAGGGAAGCTCTCGATGTGAGCCCAGGCTGGTGGTGCCTTCCGCACCAGGCCACCCTGGGCCAGACTGGTTAGAGCCACCAGAAAAGCAGTGATCCCAGCCTCAGAGGCTCACCCCACTGACGCAGGGGCTCTGCGGTTTCTTCCCCACCCTCCACTCTTCCTCCTAGGCTAAGGTGAATTTGCTTCTTACCCTCCTACCAAATGAATTAACAGGAGAGAACCGATGCCACCCACGCCTAGGAAAAAGACCCAGTTCCTCTCCCGTATATGTCCCTCTGGAGCAGACACCAAATTTTTCCAAATTTGTCTCTTTTTTCCTCCACCAGAGATGACCGACTGTTGTGGAGTTTAATTGCAGGTGAAAAGCAAGTGTTTGTGGTGGCGGCTGCAGCCTGAGGGTGCCAGCACCCACAAACCCAGCTCCAGAACCTGCAAGGCCGAAGAGCATCTAGAGATCTAGGCCACGCCACAAGACCGGGCTGGGTCCTTTTCTCTGGGCCTGGAAGTGGACACAGAACCCTTGGGGAACAGCAAGGGACCCCAAAGCAAAAGAAAGAGTCTCGGAATGACCTGGGCAATTTGTTTGGCTTAGATTTGGCAACAGGGCTTTGTGTTTGGTTTTTGTAAGATTGGAAAAGCGCGATTTCAAGCCTCCGAATTGGCGGTCGGCAACGGCTCTTCCGTTAAGGAAATATTTTCCATATTTGTCATAAAAAATTCAAGATGTCCGGGGGCACCTACAGAAAGTTCCAGCCCCCCAGCTCCCTAGCTCCCTGGCAGCCGCAAGCGCTCTCCTGTGCCAGAAGCAGTCGAGGCAGCAGGCAGTGCGGTCCCTCATGCACCGCTGCAGGGCAAAGGAGGCGGACTGACCTGTTTGCTCCATCAGCGTCCGGATGCCCAGTATGTTGCTGACGGAATGTGCCGAGGGCCACGACCGAGGGATGCTGACGTGGCCTGCCGAGCCGTGGACCCCAGGATGGCCACCCATCTTGGCGCCCGTGGGCGACACGGGGGTGGGGTAGGGGTACTGGTAGATGGGGTTGTAGGGCAGCGCAGGCTGGGGCGGCGGCTGCTTGCTGGGCTCATAGGGCCCGGGCTGCGCCAGGCTGCCGATCTTGTTGCGCAGGATGCGGCTGATGGAACTCACGGAGGGTACGTTGTACTTGTCGCAGACACCGTCGGCTAGCAGCCGGTCGCGGATCTCCCAAGCGAAGATGCCGGGATCCCCCTGCTTGTAGTCCCGGATGTGTTTGACCACGTTGGGGGTGGTGACCCGCGGCTTGCTGCCCCCGATGGCCCCAGGCAGGATGGAGCCAGTCTCATTGTAGCGCGCCAGGATCTTGCTCACGCAGCCGTGGGAGACGCGCAACTGCCGGCTGATGTCACAGGGTCGGATGCCCAGCTGCGCCAGCTCCACGATGCGCAGGCGGATGGCGTTGGGTAGGGGGCGGCCGTTCACGAACACGCCGCCCAGCTGGTTCACTTCGCCGTACGTCTGCTCTGCGATGCGCCCGATCAGAGCCAGCCGGGAAGAAGAAAACGCCGAGGGTTAGCCTCTGGCAGCGGGCTGTACCCGGGCGCGCCCCCGAGGTGACCCGCGAGCGAACCGCCTGGGTCCAGCTCCAAGAATGTGGCCGCGGAAAAGGGCATTGCGCGCTCCTGCCCTTTAGCGACCTTTGCGCGTCCACTTGAGGACACCCCCTCCCCAAGTTGAACTGCCCAAGAGTTCTGGAGACGCACAGAGTGTGGGTTGTCCGGGATCCGGGACCCCTTCGCGCGGTAAAGTGGATCTTTAGCCCTCCCGAGCCTGCCCGCCCGTCCCTCGCCCTTACCCATGGCGCGCGGGC